TGGTCCTATTGGAAAAAAATAATGTTGAACCTCCCCATCAGGTAATCTGGGAAGCACAGTACTATAGTACTCATTCAGTATAAGCAGGTGTTGTTTGTGCACCACCTGGTGCTAGGAATGGGGATGACTTGATATACATTCTGTTCATAGTTCAAACACGCATTTAAATCCCATTCCTAAAACAAGATGTGGTGTAACATTTAGGTGTGTTGAACAAACTTTATGTCTTCGCTCCCCTATGAAACGGTTAACCTGTCAGTTTTGGTTCATATCACAATTGCATACCTTCCCTGCTTAATATCAATTCATTCTATCCTGTCCCCAATTAACTAACCTTTGTATAAAGTATTCAAATACACATTTATATGCATAATATAAATATGTAATATATGTATTGAAAGGAGCAATCCTAAGTACTTCGGGAAGTCAGCAGCAGGGGAATTTGGTAGGAAGGGAAACCAGCTGAGTAAGAACTGTTCAATGCCATTGTAGACAGTTTCACAACCATTACTCTACTATTGCCTACACTCTCTTTTTGGAAGCCCAGAGCTGTGGGACAATGGGCATTTTGCATTTAACTTTGCATATGATTAGATATCAGGCAGCATGGTGACTCCATACAGATTTACAGGAAAAAGAAAGTGCAGGAAGGGATATATTTATCCTTTTCCTTGCCTTGATCTCCTCCAGTCACCTTTTCCTGTTCAGCTACCATCTTCTCTCCACCCTCTCCTAGGGCTAGATCTACAATGCCCTATATCTCAGGATCTGATCCCAGATTGTCCTAAGTACTTAGGAAAGTCAACAGCAGGGGAATTTGGCAGGAAGGGAAACCAGCTGAGTAAGAACTCTTCAATGCCATTGTAGACAGTTTCACAACCATTACTCTACTATTGCCTACACTCTCTTTTTGGAAGCCTAGAGCTGTGGGACCATGGGCATTTTGCATTTAACTTTGCATATGAGTAGATATCAGGCAGCATGGTGACTCCATACAGATTTACAGGAAAAAGAAAGTGCAGGAAGGGATATAGTTATCCTTTTCCTTGCCTTGATCTCCTCCAGTCACCTTTTCCTGTTCAGCTACCATCTTCTCTCCACCCTCTCCTAGGGCTGGATCTACAATGCCCTATATTTCAGGAACTGATCCCAGATTGTCTGCTTATCCTTTGAATGTGATTTTCCTGCTTCTTGCCAGGGGGTTGGATGGGATGGCCCACAAGGTCTCTTCCAATTCTATGGTTCTATCTGGCAGTGTAGATTCATATAATCCAGGTCAAAATAGATAATCTGGGATCAGATCCTGGGATGTGGGGCAGTGTAAATCCAGCCTAGGTTTCCTTCTTGAAATTGAAGTTCTGCACCTCTTCTGATCGCCTGCTCAATGTGGCTTCTTCACTACCACATAGCAAGACCACTGTTGTTGGGCAGAAAAGCTAGGGTCTTAGCTGCTGTCTTGCTAACCAAAAGGTTGCAGGTTCGAATCCGGGGAGCGGCATGTACTTCTGCCCCAGCTTCTCCAACCTAACAGTTCGGAAACATGCAGATGTGAGTAGAATAGGTACCGCTCTGGCTGGAAGTTAATGGTGTACCATGCAGTCATGTCAGCCACATGACCTTGGAGGTGTCTATGGAAAATGCCGGCTCTTTGGCTTAGAAATGGAGATGAACACCACCCCCCCCAGTGTCAGATATGACTGGATTTAATGTCAGGGGAAAACCTTTACCTTTACCTATATCTTTGAGACCCTCTCCAACAGGAGAGGGTCTCAAAGATAACTTTCACCTTTCAGTCTTTATTCTAGGATTACTAATATTTCTGAGTTAGTATTGCTGGTAGCCCCTGGTGGTGCAGTGGGTTAAACTGCTGAGCTGCTAAACTTTCTGACCGAAAGGTTGGTGGTTTGAATCCGGGGAGTGGAGTAAGCTGCTGCTGTTAGCCCCAGCTTCTGCCAACCTAACAGTTCAAAAACATGGAAATGTGAGTAAATCAACAGGTACCACTCCTGTAGGAAGGTAACAGAGCTCTATTCAGTCATGCCAGCCACAAGACCTTGGAGGCGTCTATGGACAACACTGGCTCTTTGGGTTAGACATGGAGATGACCACTACCCCCCGGAGTCGGACACGACTAGACTCAATGTCAGGGGAAACCTTTACCTTTACTTATTGCTGGTTGCTGCCTAGATATGCTCTTAGCTTTCTGCCTATATAAAATACGCTCTTAATTTGTAACAGTTATGCTATTTTGGAGATTATAGCCCTTTGCCTTGATTTAAAACTCTACTCGAAGAGCTTCTATATGGGAATTAAACAGTAACCAGGCTCCCATAATCACTTTTTGTTTTCTTCTTATTTAAAAAATAAAATAAGATTCATTGCTTGTTGGACTGGCTGAGTGAGGTTACTGGTAAATTTTAACTGGCAGACAAAGGCTTTATTTGCAGCTTTATTGTGCTGAAAGAATTTTAATTGGCAGTGGCAAGCTTTAAAGAGCACATGGCAGTTTGGGCAACTCAAATGTGCCACCCATCTCTTTCCCAGTCTCTCCCACGTCTGATGAAAAAGAAACCTTGGGATGTTGCTGAATCCCCCAGGACTTCGCTGGAGAGAAACAGACAACTTGGAACTTCAGGCTTAAGCCATCAAATGCACACTCACTACTGCCATTGCTTTGAGACCTATGAGCAAGCCCAGCTGACACAGAACTGTTCCAAAATATGTTATTCAAAAGCAGAGTCAACACGGAGAGGGTGGAGGAGCTTCTGCTTGAACTCCAAAGATAGATCTCCTTAACCCAGAGACAGACACTTCTGCATTACTCAAATACAGAAGTTTCTACATACTGGATGCAAAGGAGAAGTGGAAGCTGCTCATGCATTCAGTGAAGAGGTTGCCGCTGCCTTCCATCAAATCCAGACAGCATGCTTTTGCTTTTGAACAGGGGAATGAGGCACAGCTCTACATTTTTCAAGTCTGAGTTCCCACTTTATTAGTGGCATGTTCTTTCTTTTCCAGATATTTTAACAGCCTGCAAACCAACCTTGAATGAGAGACCTTCAATTCACCCTATCCTCAATAGCCCTGCTCAGGTCTTGCAGACTCGGGGCCATGACCTGAGGCCCCATCTGCACTACTATATAATGCAGTTTGATATTGCATTATATGGCAGTCTAGATGGGCCCTGGGTCTATTCATCTGTAATACAATCTTCCTCTTTTTTTAAAATAGCCATAGATTCTAAAGAAAGTTTAGCTTGACACAGCATATTCAATAAATAATTAGTGGATATGTGCAGTATAGGCTCATAGTTTTCATACTATAATAACCTTCTCTCTGTAAATCCACATAATCCAAGAAAGCATTATTTTGTTGGGTGTGGGATATATCATATGCATATCTTAAGAATGGGTTTCACGTTGCATAAAATCTTTGCGGTTTTGCCTGATCTTTAACAACATCCACATAGTGTGGGAGTTCCCTTATTAGTGAATGGTAAGTAAAAAATCCGAATGAAGCTTTGTAATTATATTTTAATGTCTAATTAATCCAAACCAAATTATTATAATGATGGTGCTTTGCTTTTGTTTTATAATATTTTTAGTCACAAGAATATTGTCCTTTGTCTGATTCCTGATCAAAATGAAGAAATGGGAGGGCAAAAATCAATGGCTAATTGGGTTGCTATGAGTTTTTCAGGCTGTATGGCCATGTTCCAGAAGCATTCTCTACTGATGTTTCTCCCACCTCTATGGGAGGCATCCTCAGAGGTTGTGAGTTCTGTTGGAAACTAGGCAAATGGAGTTTATATATCTGTGGAATGTCCAGAGTGGGAGAAATAACTCTTGTCTGAGGCAAGTGTGAATGTTGCAATTGGCCAACATTATTATTATTATTATTATTATTATTATTATTAAACTTTATTTGTACCCCGCTAGCATCTCCCGAAGGACTCGATGCGGCTTACAAAGGCCAAGGCCTCAACACACAATACAACAATACAAAACCTAATGCAAATTAAAAACTGCATGTAATGGCCTTGCAGTTTCAAGGTCTCCCTGCAAGGCCATTACATGCAGTTTTTACATGCAGTTACAACAATACAAAACCTAAAGCAAATTAAAAACTGCATGTAATGGCCTTGCAGTTTCAAGGTCTGCCTGCTTACTGCCTGGGGGAATCCTTTGTTGGGAGGTGATTACCTGGCCCTGATTGTTTCTTATCTGTAATTCCCCTGTTTTTGAGTGTTGCTCTTCATTTACTGTTTTGATTTTAGAGTTAATTAATAGCTAATTAATTAAAGATCAAGAACCTAAGATCTCTGAAGGTGATGGTACTTTGAGTCTATTTAAACTATGGAATCCTGGGGTTTATAGTGTGGCAGAGAATTCTAATCATCATCCTCATCATCATTGTCATCCTTCTCCAAATTACAATTGCCATAGGAGGTTGCCCTGGCTGTTAAAGTGGAATCATAATGTTATAAGTGCACGCTGTGTGAAAGGGTCTCAGGAGACTCGTAGCCCTTTAAAATCACCCTGAGTCTTTGTGCAGCTGAATAAACTCTGGCATCTTACAAGCTTATGCACTGCCATACTTTCATTTTATCATAGGATTTTATATTTATTTATCGTGTTAGGGGCAACCAGACCATTGTATTACATTTCTAGAAATGTAATAGAAATGGATCATAGGATGACTGAAAGACAAAAAGAGAAGAACAAAGAGTAATCATGTAAATCTAGGTGTGATATAAATCTTTCAAAAGGAGCCTAGATTGCCCAGGCAGTTTTGGTGTTTGCAGAACTATATTTTTTTAACTGAGAGTTGCTCAGTTAAATGGGTTGCTGTGAGTTTTCACAACCTTTGAGGATGCCTGCCATAGATGTGGATGAAATGTCAGAAGGGAATGCTTCTGGAACATGGCCATACAGCCCGGAAAACTCACAGCAACCCAGTCACCCAAGACAGACTGATAATTGATCCTGAGAGAAAAGCTGGGTAGAAATAAACATCATTACCACCATCATCATCATCTCTCTGATTTTGCTCAGATAGACCTCTTCAGTTTGTGTCGTCATGCTTAACCAGTTGCTTTTAAAATGTCCCATTCTTCTTTTCCAAAAATACTTGTGTAATATAATATAAAACTTCTAAGATGACATTTATGAAGCTGATGACATTGACTACTGATTTTTGATGAAGAACAATATTTGCCTGTGAAGGCTTACAGCATTGGCTCTGGGTTTTCATTTAGGCAGTCAGTTTTAAAAGCAAGACAACTGGCAGAACTGTGTGAGCCACTTATTTATTTTTTAAATATATATCCCATGTTCCCCAAAGCTTGAACATTTTATTAACATTGCCCATTTCTTTCTTTTTTTTTTCATAGACTAAGAGGTTGGAAATGATTTGGATTGTTCATTTGTGGCTACTCTGTCTGAGGAATAGAAAGAGCTGGGCCTTTAGGATCATCAAATCGACTGTTTGTTGTGAGATTCGTAATCATGTGGATTCCATAGGTAAGGATCAATAATAAAACGAATGAGGTGACCAAACCCATCCATATTGCAGGGGTGAAGAATGAGGTACAATCACTTGCATAGGCAAATGCGGTGTTTTCTACATTGAAAGCCTGGATCTGCAAAAGATAAAAAGAAGGGTGTTGAGCCAAGAACCTGTACTTCATGTCCTACTTCCACAGGCGGGATGATCATTAACCACACGTCCGTAGTGTTTCTTTAACCACAGGAACATTGCATGTCAAACATGGAAAAATGTCATTTATTTTGGGGTATGTGCCAGGAAAAAAAATGCAGCACCTGTTAACTCTGTCATGCCAATGCTACCCAGATCAGGTAGCACTAGTAATCATGGTGACAGATAGATTTTGGGAGTTATAGTGCAAAAGGTATTTTCCCCAAGATCTCTATTCATGTATCTAACTAAAATCAGAGCAAGAGATATTTATGTATGTATATATTTATTTAGAGCATTTTTATATTGCTGCTTAGGGCCCTTCCAGACAGGCCCTATATCTCAGGATCTGATCCCAGGTTTTCTGTTTATCCTAGATTATCTGCAGTGTGGACTCATATAATCCAGTTTAATCCAGAAAACCTGGGATATAGGGCCTGTCTGGAAGGGCCCTTAGCGCACCTTATGTATGTGTGAGATGTTCCCAATGTAACTTGTTGTTGTGTGCCCCAAGTCTTCTCTAATGCACGGGGTTTTTTTTTTTGTGAGATTTCTTCAGAAGGGAGTTGGTTTTGCCTTCCTCCGAGGCTGAGAGAATGTGACTTGGGTTTCCTATCTTCTGAAATATTTTACAAAGAAATATTTTCCAATCATGTTCATCAGAGAAGGAGGGGATGGATTTGGAATGCCTGGGGTTTTAACTTGGGATCTGATGCCAGGTTTAGTGTTCATTTAAATCACTCAAACGGCCATCCCACACAGCCCTACATTCCAGAATATCAAGCAGAAAATCCCACAATATCTGCTTTGAACTGGGTTATCTGACTCCACACTGCCACATATCCCAGTTCAAAGCAGAAAATGTGGGATTTTCTGCCTTGATATTCTGCAAAATAGGGTTGTGTGGAAGGGCCCCCAGAGTCATTTAATTCTGGCATGGGAATAAGGCCCATATGTAAAAATCAATGAATTCAGCGAGGTTGTGCTGGAAGGTCGATTTGACATCTGCAGAGGATAATTTTTAACTACCCTTTAGCACAATGGTGTTATCTATATCTTTTAAATTTACTCCTTCAAGAAAGTTTATTTCAGGAAGACTACAAATTATGCTGTGGAATTTTCTGTAGATTTTGCTCTCCATCATACACTGAGTCCGAATAATAATAATAATAATAATAATAATAATAATAATAATAATAATAATATATTTTATTTCTAGACCACCCTCTCTCCCCAGGGTGGGTTACACACATAAAAAGGCAAACATTCAATGTCCTCATTGAAGTTTTCAGTCAGAAAATCTTTCATAATTTCCCATAGTATAGGCTCAACTATATTTTGAACAAGATGCCCTCAGTTTTAGCTAGGGTGAATAATTTTTGGGAATAATATAAATTTTGCCATATGTATTACTTTCAGTAATATGTTGTTCTCCATCACAAGAGATGGTGATGATAATTTATTTATTACTCACCTCTCCTCATGGCTTGAGGCAAGGATCCCAGGGATGTGTTAGTAATAAATCATTAAAAAATTGATTCTATCTATCTATATATTATGGTCGATGACCAGCACCATAAAATGAAGAAATGTTGGAATAGAAGTGTATACATTTAGGTATTAAAAACACTGTCGAAAGTAAAGTTAACACCCAGTAGATACAATATTATAAAGCTGACATCCAACTGCCATTACAAAAGGCAGCATAATTTTCCTGATACATGATTAATTCTTCAGAAATTCCACAGAAATCACTTCTTTGCTGAATATTTTGTTTTAAAAACACTCACTATTTATTATTATTTATTTACAGCATTTATATCCCACCCTTCTCACCCTGAAGGGGACTCAGAGTGGCTTTACAGAACATACATATGGCAAACGTTCAATGCTGATTATACAGTTAAGAAAAACACAAACAGAGGTTAAAAAGGGAGATTTTTCCCATTTTATTTCCGGCATCTTGATATGATATGATAACATACATAGATGTTAGCCCACTAATTTTTCAGGTTGAGTTTTCTGTTTCATTATTAAAATAGCTGTTAGCACAAATCACCTCTTGCTACAAATCTCCTATACAAGGACCTTATCTGTGCTTGTGAAATCAATGGATTTGTAATAAGGGGGGGGGGGGAGGGTTGGAAAAATTGTGGTTGTCTATTCCCATTTACTTCAATGTTCCTAAGTTCTGAGTATACCTACTTTGAGACTGAAGAGCTTGAAAAAAGGTACCAGACAGAATTATGATGTGATAAGGTTCACAAAAGCTTGTTCCAGATACCACGAGACTTTGTGTAATAATTAAAAAGTTGGATTCACATAGACTAGTAGTGAGTGGGAGAGCTGAGTATTGATTTACAGAAAGATTCACTCAGCTGTGTCAGCCTTTTTTAATTTCCCAGAGTTTAAGTACTTTCTGTATTCTTCTATGTCAGGACTTAACTACCACTATTGTGTTGTATTATATTGTATTTATTTCATTTAAATGCTACTTTTCTCCTAGAACGGAAGACATTTCCTTCAATTGTATAGAACAGAAAGTGATGGTTAGAGTGAAGTGCCCTGTATTTACACTCTATACCTTACAATCTCGTAGGAAAGGCAGAGATGACCAAATTGCTAATATAAGGTACAGTATGTGGGGAAATGTCAATATAGAAGTAGTTAATGGTGTTTGAATTCAGAAGCTAATGAAAGGGTAATAAATAAGTTGGTGAATTAAAATGTTAAAGTGTTCTACTGTTTCTAGATATGGTCAAAAATGTCTTGTACCTGGACCAAAAAAGAAAAAGAAATATCTTAGGAAAGTTGCAACTGGGAGAGGGGGGAGTTTGGTTGTGGGAACCTTGAGGACTGTATTCCCAAAGAGTAACTTTCTATGTTCTTTATGGATAGGGATGTAGATTGGGGTTAAGGGTGACATGACAAATGGGCAGGGCACATGAGCTGTGGGCAGAGCAAAACATTAAAGAAGTGGAGTTGGCCATCCAAACGAGTGATTAAAACTAGTGATGAAATGATAGACCCAGCATTAAAAGATCTGGGCTCAGTCAGCAGTGCATGTGGCACACAGAAAATGACATTATTCATCCAAGACATATGTGTCAAATTCAGGAATCTGGTCCACTGTATTATTTTATGTGGCCCTTCAGATGTTGGACTACAACTCCTGTATTTCTCATCATTATATCATGATTAGAGGTAATAATGGTAGTTGTGATACAATGACATCTAGAAAGTTGCACATTGTTCTGTTTAGTCTGGATAGTGGGGTTTGAATTTAGATACAATGCTTGTAAATATGATGTCTGACATTAAAAAGGTCTTTAGCCATTCCTCAATCTCAGAGGCACAAGTTCTGTTGGGTTGCAATTCCCATTATTTGCAGTCCACATGGTGGATAATCAAAAGTGATGGGAGATGTCATTCAATAAAATTTGGGGCTCAAACTGGGTAAAAGCTAAAGAGCACTGACTACAATGTGTGTGTGTGTGTGTAGTTGGCCCTCTGTGTCCACAGATTCTCCATTCATAGATTCAAAGGCCCATAAGAATGATGCTCTTGATGAAAATAGGTTTGATACCCCTGATTTAAGACGTAAATTTCTGCCCTTTGCTTACAAACATCTTGCCACCAGTCAACATATTCCTGCACAATATTAGGTTAGCAATATACTTGTTTTACTGTTAGGAAACTGGTGTCTAGTTTTCAGTTGTAAGGGTCATTAGTGCCTCCATGGCAGAAACCCCAACAACCATACAAATCAGCTTAGAGTTGGCCTGCAAAACAAACAGCCTGCAGGCTGCATGAGTCCTGCACAAGCCATTGGTATGGCTCACCCACTGCTACTGCAGACCCCCTGCCACCATGGTACACCCTTCCCTCCACCACTGCATGACCCCTCTACCATTGTCATCATCACATGCCCCTGGAGAGGGAGGCAGGGAGGGAGAAAAGGACAGAAGGGAGTAAGGAAAAACAGGGAGGGAGGAAGAAAGGAAGGAAGAAAGAAAAAAAGACAGGTGGGGGAAATGGCAAAATAAATAAATAAATAAACAAAAGTAGGGAAGAGGGAAAGAAGGAGAAGAGAAGGAAGGGGCAAAAGAAAGAAAGAAAGAAAGAAAGAAAGTGAAGTAGGAAAAAGAGAGAGAAGAAAATCAGAAAGCATTGTGTAGTGGTTTTAACCTCAGATTATAGCTCTGAACCCACTGGATGACTTTAGGTAAGTCACATACTCTCAGTCTCAGAAGAAGAAAAAGGCAAATCCCTTTTGAATAAATCTTGACAAGAAAACTGTGATAGGGTTGCAACAACAATCCTAATTAATCATTAATTAGACCTTACTTGGAAAGTGAGGTGCTAAATACCTATTTGCAATCCCAAGAGGCTTAACCTATCTACTTTTGGCCCCAAATTGTATGAGCCTGGCTTAGATGGTTATTACCCAGGATAGACTCCAGATATTTTCATCCAACGATTCTGATTTATTTAATTTTCTGCTGTTTCTCTTTCTCAGCCACTTTTAAACTGTTACGGTTTCTCTCCTCTCCTTCCACTTTCCTCTTTCATTTTCCACTTACTTCAACTTCTGGTAACTAGGTTCAGAGTGCAAAAGTAGTTTTCATTTAGGGAAATGAGAGGAAGTCACAACCTTTTTAATTGGCTCATTTGGAACATCATTGCAGTGAGGTAAACAAAGACTACTGTAAAATATTTAATAGAGACTCGAGCAGTTAATAAATGACAAACAATATGGTGCAAATGGTTCCTTGATATCAGATATACATGCTCATATCAAGGAAATGAAATTAATATCTAGGTCACAAGGTGTGTTTGGGGAATGCAGACCGCACTAGGTAACACCATATGAATGATGGGATTTTTGAAAATAGAGGGCAAAGGGGGGGGGGATTTCAAGAGGAAGGCCCATCAAGCAAACATTTTTGGGACCACCTTCTGTCTCGAAATGTCCTCACTGTAAAAGACCATGCAGATCCAGAAAAAATCACCAGTCATTTGCGAACCCACCACCAAGACTCTACACTTGGAAGACAATTATATTCAGCCACAAGTGATAGACTATGATAATGATTATCACAAGGTGTATTTGGGGAATGCATACCACAGTTTGCTGCTGTGCTTTTTTTTTAAAAAAAAGTCACTGGTTTTGTCATATTATCTGATATTTCAGCTACAATATTATGTTATGGTGTGGTATTAATGGAGATCCATGCTGGGTGGTATCAACCTCATTGATCTAGATCAGGGGTGTCAGACTCATTTTCACTGATGGCCACATCAGCCTCATAGCTGCCTTCAAAGGGCTGTTAAATCCATGGATAGAGGATTGGTGGATACAGAGGGACAACCATAATTTATTTTACATAGTCAGTGATCTTCCATTTTTCACCCAGGTTAGATCTCCAGATGTTATTGAACATCAACTCCCATCAGCTCTAGTCATTATGTCTAATGATAAGGAATGCAGGAGTTGTAGTCCAGCATCTGGAGGGTCACATAAAATGAGTTTGACACACGTGATCTAGATGAACAAAATACCATTCTGTGAATGGCGGGAAACTGACTCAAAAATGTTGTCTAGTTGTGGTATTTGTGACATTGCAAGGGTTGTACAGGCTCCAGTGGACATATTTTCAGTGGCAGGAAATGACAGGACTAAGGCCCAAGCAAATTTGATGTTTTGTGCCTTCTAGAAAGTTCTGAGATAGAGCAAGTGTGAAGCAAGAGCAAAGAAATGGAGAGAAAGGGGGGATTCCAAATAGTTTGTTGCGAATTGGAAGGAAGTCAGAGACTAATTCTTGCCTTGGGCCACAATAGGACAATTGGGAAATAACTTCTAGCATTTCACACAAGAAAACATTTCATGTATGGTCTTGGTAGCAAAAGGTATTATTGAATGCAAACATAGGATAGGAGGGGCTGCAGCAGTTTGTGTTTACCTGAGCCCGGTGGGAAGGAAGAGTGTCCATTTCCTCCCTACTGAGTAAACTGACTGCATAGTACTTCTCCACTATGAGCTTGAGACAAAGGGGGAAAATGTGGAAAGGAAAAGGGATATTCTAAAAGCAGGTTAAAAGTGTGACAACAGGATTAATTGGGATTGTCCCTTCTAAATCAGGACGATTGGACAGTATGTGGGAAGGTTGATTCTAATGCACACAACTTATTGAGGACTTACTGACTGATGTAAATGTAACTAAGATTTGTTATTATTCACTTGTTTTTATCAGAAAAAGCCTGCAAGAGCTGATGGCAGGAAAAGTGAGTTTATAGGTTGCAGCAATAGTGATACTCCCATCAAAAAGTCAGACTGGGCTGTTTCTATCAAAGCATGGAGGTTTAATTGTCCCCCAAAGCCTTGATTAATTTTAACAATGCTTATTGTGTTTTCTGCATTCAGATGAGTTTGTGTGTGTATGAATGATAAAAGGCAATTGTATTCTGGCAGAAGAGTAAAGATGAAACCCTCTGCAGTGCCAAAATTAGAAAAGCATATAAAACAGCACAGTGTTGTTGTTTTGTCTTTTTTAAACAAAATATTTCGAGGTTTTAAGGCAAGGACTGTGGCTTTCACATTTTCTGCATTTTGTTTGAGTGGGATCAAGGATCCATCTTCTGCTAGAGGAATAGTTCTGCCTGGGAATTATATGCAATATGCATCGGTTGCAAACATCAATTATTTAACAGGGTGCCTACTAGTCTCATGCATTTGTATAGGATCTCTCGCCATTTCTGTTTGTTTAATTTGTATGGCCCCATTTTCATTTTTGAGCACCGCTTCCGAAAATGGCACCTTTCTAAATGAGCTTTTTTGTCACACATGCGAAAAAAATGAATGTTTTCATCCCATTGGCGGCAATGGGCAGGCAATCCTATACAAATGCTCCCTTTCCCCATAGTTTTAGAGCTGCTGCTGTTCCCCACTTCAATTAGGAAACCTCCCTTGTGCCACTGCTGCTGAAGTCTCTTCATTGGAATCCTTGGTGTGGGGATGGCGGCTTGCTGGTTCCTGAGGTTTGACCTCCACCGTTCAGCAACCGTGCAGTTCTACACACTTTGAGCCTATGCGTGCAGGCCTGCAGCTGAGCACCAAGGAAGCAGTGCTCCTTACTCGATGCTCAGCTGCAGGCCTTGGCTGGTGTGTCCATGTAGGCCCAAAGTGCACGGGCTTGCCAGGGTCTTTCTGGGTCTGCACGATTGCTGAGTGGTGGAGGGCAAGCCCTGGCAACCGGCAAGTTGCCAGCCCGTGCCAAGGATCTCCGAAGAAGAGACTTCAGCACAATCCCTCTTCTCTCTATAGCTATGATGCTGAAAGGCAGGATTGAAGCAGGTACCCACTCCCCCTGCCTTTCGTATTGAGTTTATTTTCATTCCGGGAGGGGTTCTTTTGCATCGTGCCATCCAAATGGACGGAACAAAATGGAAACACGAATTAAATGGATGATGCAGATACCGGGCCCATGACTAGTGCCCACATTACATATGTACAATATTATAAACTCTTCCATGCTTTAGGTTTTGTTGATCAGCATGCATGGTTTAAACTGATGCTGAATAAAGCTGTAAGGAGGAAGCTGTCTGATTTTTAATGATAGTAAAATAAGTATAGGACTGTCTGTGCAGACTTGCTTTTTAGACAGATGTCTCACTTGGTGCTGTTCACCTGAATGCCTTTTAACTGACATAATAGGCATCTGATTGTTCAATGCACTAAATGTTTCCCACTAATTTATTGTGACTCAGACAGAACTATTTTGCAAAAATCTCCAAATTTATTGAAATGTCTGTGTTTTTATTTAGCTATTTTAGTAGATGTGAAGGTATAAAAGAAGAGTATGGGTGCAAATATTATTTTTATCTTTGCTCTCCCATAAAGACTGATTCTTACATTATGAACCTGCCCAAATTTAAGAACTTCAGAGGAAGGCCTATTATGTCTTGTGAAAATTGGTTGGTATTTATACATAACAGTGCTTTCTCTGGAGCAGCATCACAACTATAGAGACGTAACACTGAGTTCACCTTTTTTGGACTTCTGGTGAATAGCTAAAACAATACTGTTCTGCCTAGCTTTTAATTATTGAAATTACATTGCTCTAACTTTTAATTGTTTCTGAGAATTATTTTAGACTGATGTTTTTAAATTTAGTGACTGTTAACATGTTGATAAAATGTTTCATATTTGTATGGTTTTAATTGCTTTTATTTGTTCATTAGAAGCCCTTGTGGGCTTGAAGGTGATATGTGAATATCAAGGAAGGAAGGAAGGAAGGAAAGAAGGAGGGAAGGAAGGAAGGGAGGGAGGGAGGGAGGGAGGGAGGGAGGGAGGGAGGGAGGGAGGGAGGGAGGGAGGGAGGGAGGAAAGAAGGAAGGAAGGAAGGAAGGAAGGAAGGAAGGAATTTAGGCATTTTTCTCCCCACTGGGTGAAATTATGTGGGGGTTTTCTTATTCTTTGCACATTAAGGCTTTTTTTTAAAGTGTAAGGTAAAGGTAAAGGTTTCTCCTTGGTGCTCATATCCATTTTTAAGCCAAAGAGCTGACGTTGTTCATAGATGCCTCCAAGGTCATGTGGCTGGCATGACTGTATGGAGCGTCCTTACCTTCCCACCGAAGCAGTACCAATTGATCTACTCACATTGGAATGTTTTCAAACTACGGTACTAAGTTGGCAGAAGCTGGGCCTAACACTGGGAGCTTGCCCCGCTCCCCGGATTCAAACCACCGACCTTTTGGTTAGCAAGTTCAGCAGCTCAGCAGTTTAACCTGCTGCGCCACTGGGGGCTCCTTCAAAACGTTCTAATGTAAAAATATAATGTACAAAACCCTGTACAATGTAACATTGCTTTCTATACACCACACCCACCCAAAATCCCAAATGTGAAAAGATCTTACAGGGGTCAACCATTTTCTTGGCAAGATGTCTTGATGCATCAAGGCATTGTTTCTTACCAAGAATGATGAATTCTTAAGTATTCTTTCCATTCACTTGGTGAGAGTTTTATTGTTATACTTGATACGTACAGGTTCCAATTCTTACTGAACACTCCGGGGTTAGTCCTTTTCTTTCAAGATAGTGGTTGTTATGAGTATTAAACAAAGAAAGGTAATATTCTTATTTTTGATTTGTACAGCAACATTTATGGATGGGTTTATGATATTATTGAGGAGTTTTGTTATTTTTCCTTACACTTTTATAACATCACAATGTGCCCCTACCATCTCTCTGCTCCCTCCTCAACTACTGATATCTTCACCACAGATTTGAACCAAATGTAGGAAATTGATAGGCAATGGCTTTCTATTAAATTTCTATTAAGAAAGAAGTAGTGAAGGTGATGTTCTTTATAAACCTTTCAGAAAATCCTGCTGCACATAATAACTCTTAGGATTGCATCAGGCACTGTAATATATTCTTACCTGGAATTCAGAAATGCCAATCTCCCATTTTGGTTGTGTATCATTTTTCGGAACCAGAGTCACACCTTGATGGTACCCAGTTCCTACCAGCTGGCAATGAAATGAATACTCTGCAGGACCGGAGATGTCTGTGACATTAAATTGAGCAACACTCTCATTGTTTTTTCGAATATAAACAAAATCTAAGGTGAACCAGTTTCGAGCAGAGCCTACATAGAATTTGTTGGTCATCACAAATCTAGAGAGGAGACAAACACAAAATACATTGATTTAAAATGAAGAATCTTCTTTCCTAACTAAAAACAGGTGGCAGAGGGGGTTATATTTGGTATGAATTTGAAGCTATGTAGTTTGATAGTGACAAAGAAACTTCAAGAGATTGCCAATGTTGACATATACAAGCGTAGAATGTAATGGCTTGCTCTTTTCCAAAAGATAGAGAGATTTTAGAAACAAAAATTAAGGAGAATAATTGTTTATAATGATTTGTCTACAAGTCATTTCACAATTATACATTGGTTAGGATTAAGTGTTCATTGTATATGATTCCTACACTATTGTTAACGTTATTAAGAGCCTGGTGAAAATCCATACCAGTTTGTTCCTTAGAGAGGTTGTATTAAGTCCTCCTCCTCTTATTTCCTCAGTGGAATTGTTTTCCTTCAGAGGAGTCCAGTATGTTGCCCATTATCTGGGAGAGAAAGCCTGCTCCTAAGGCTGGCTTAGCTGAAAGTCTTCTCCAGCTCAAAAGCTTCCTAAGGGCCCTTCTACACTGCCATATAAAATCCAGATTATCTGCTTTGAACTGGATTATATGGCAGTGTAGACTCAGATAATCCAGATTGATAGTCTGCATTATATAGCAGCGTAGAAGGGGCCTCAAAGGCCCCGTCTACACTGCTTTATATAATCCAGGTTATCTGCTTTGAACTGGATTATATGGCAGTGTAGACACCTGTTATTCAATGCAAAGCAGATAATCTGGATCACCTACTTTGATAATCTGGATTATATGTCAGTGTAGACCCAGCCTAATTCTTATATAAACTATTCATGAATTAGAAGTATAAAATGCACTAGTAAAGTGGAAAGGAAGAACTGGAGGAGCTCTCCCAAGTTTAGAATATCTACCTTTGTACACAAACTTTGTATTTTTAAATGCAGTATCTTTTCTGTTGAAAAGGTATATTTAATTAATTCAATTTTAATTAGCACACACACACATTTAAAGACAATTGGTCATAATTATTAGCTATTGTTGCTAATGATGTGCTACTACAGAGAAAGCCTGGTTATGCATAAATACCAACCAGTTTTCATGTATATGGATACAATGGTATGGTACAATGGCATGAATGTTGGGAGTATAGAGAGCTATTTTTCATTTTGACTGAACCTGGCTTAACTATTGATAATAGTTAGATATTAGGGATGGGCTTTCAGTACAAAAAAAAACATCAGAGAGAAATCAGAATTATGGCGCAATGTGTTTGAAGCCATGGAAGTCTTTATCAAGGTCAGTGGATTCAGTCTATCTAAAAGATAACTAAGTTAGCACTTAGACTCATTACATTCAATAGGATTTGCCCACGTATAGTTATATCATGGGACAGCCATCTATACTACACCATTAGATGCATTTACATTTATTTATTTACAGTATTTATATTCTTCCCTTCTCACCCCAAAGGGGACTCAGGGTGGATGACAGAACACATATACAGCAAACATTCAATGCCATTTATACACTGACAAGACAGATAATTGTACATAGATAGAGCTATGTATAGGGTTTCCCCATCTTTGGCATCTTGGAGGCTTGTACTCGGTTCTGGCCATGGGGGGGGGGGGGCAGTCACGTCATCTCCCTGCCAAAGAGCTTTGTTCACAAACTTTTGCACAAGAGCAGAGGGCTACGTAAGTGGGGACTGGAATTTTGTTTCCCTGCTTTAATCACCATTTCAAAAGCAGTTTACCAAGGGGACAGAAATGGAAATTGCACACAAAAGACTACAGCTTTTTGGAACAAGTTGCACAGTCCTTTGAATCCTATTCAATGCCATCTCTTCAGGGAAAAAGTGAGGAAGCAAAATACTTTACATAGAATGTTATTCCCTTATTTTGCAGCCACTTCCCACAGCTTATTCAGAAAAAAATGTAAATATACCTTATTTCCAGGTTCTCGATACTGCTCACATTGGTGTATTTTAATGACAACCTAACCAGAACAGGGGAAAATGTGATTAGACTATGTTATTTTCAGTTGAGACTCTCTGTTTTGTTTTAAATTTGTTCTAAATTGGCAAGTAAATATGAACAGATAGTACACACCAAAAGGCAGCAATTATGACCATTTCCTCATCTCTCTAGCAAACAAAGGGAGGAAAACATTCAAGACCTTGATCTGTGACGATATTGACAGCTCACTGAAATGGAAGCATTGGCAAAGATTCTCCGTAAAGAAATCTTACAATGAAATGAGTGTGCATATAATGAAAATGTGCCGTGTGATACACACGAGGACACTGGAGAGGAGAGCACAGGAGTAAGATGTGTCAGCCAATCAGTTGTAATTATGCTCTTAGAAATGAACAATGGACTAATTGTTCATTTCTAAGCAAATCATAGGGAGGAGGGAGCAAGCTTGTTTTCTGCTGCCCTGGAGACTAGAATGCAGAACAATGGCTTCAAACTACAAGAAAGTAGATTCCATCTGAACATGAGAAGAACTTCCTGAGTGTGAGAGCCGTTCAGCAGTGGAACTCTCTGCCCCGGAGTGTGGTGGAGGCTCCTTTGGAGGCTTTTAAATAGAGGCTGGATGGCCATCTGTTGGGTGTGCTTTTAATGTGACTTTCCTGCTTCTTGGCAGGGGGTTAGACTGGATGGCCCACAAGGTCTCTTCCAACTCTATGTTTCTGTGATTTTATGATTCTATGAATGACAAAGAAAGAAACCCTGTTAGTACAGTTTGGACCTCTTATGCACATATGAACTAGTACCTTTCTTTCATTAACATGGAAATCAGTTTTTCATTTTTTCAATTAAAAGTGTATAATATAGAATAAAATCATACCACAACCCATCCACCCCAATCTATATACTACATTTAACTGGAATAAAATTGCCCTAAGGAATCGGATGAAGCCAGTATAATAGAAACATAGAGTTGGAATAGACCTCGTGGGCCATTCAGTCCAACTCCCTGCCAAGTAACAGGAAAATTGCATTCAAATCACCCCCCAACAGATGGCCATCCATCCTCTGTTTAAAAGCCTCCAAAGAAGGAGCCTCCACCACATTCTGGGGTAGAGAGTTCTATTGCTGAACAACTCCTCATGTTCAGGTGAAAACTCCTTTACTGTAGTTTGAAGCCATTGTTCTGCATCCGAGTCTCCAGGGCAGCAGAAAACAAGCTTTCTCTCTCCTCTCTATAACTTCTCCTCACATATTTATACATGGCCATCATGTCTCCTCTCAGCCTTCTCTTCTGCAGGCTTAACATGCCCAGCTCTTTCAGCTGCTCCTCATAGGGCTTGTTCTCCAGACCCTTGATCATTTTAGTCACCCTTCTCTGGACACATTCCAGCTTGTCAACATCTCCCTTAAATTGTGGTGTCCACAATATAACATAATATTCCAGGTAGCATTATGTTATATTCTAATATAACATAATGCTACCCCTCTATTCTGACCAAGGCAGAATAGAGATGTAGCATTACTTCCCTGGATCTAGATACTATACTCCTATTTATGCAGGCCAAAATTCCAAATTTTTAGCTGCCGCATGACATTGTTGGCTCATGTTTAACTTGTTGTCCACGAGGACTGCAAGATCTTTTTCACACATACTGCTATCCCTGCTAAAGAGGAGCCCTTTGTATAGAAACCAAAACAAGGAGACTATGGTGACAGGGGCTCCTACAGTAGGCAGAACGAAATGCTAAGCAATTCATATCCTCTTTGATTAAAATGCTTTGCCTCTCTCGAAAGGAAATGCATGTGTCAGCTATTAAACTTTCAAATAAAAACTGTTTACTATGGAAAGAGCAGCCACACAAGAGATGAGAAAAAGCACATGTGAAGTGAAACGGATGTATTTCATTAGAAGGAACAACTTTTCTAGCTACTTGCTTCACTTAGTGTTTGAACCCTACTCTCCAATTATTTTCTCTCCTTCTAGGGTTCTTACTGGTGAAAGCCGAACCAGCAGATGCCAGGAATATTGGGCAAATTTTGTCTAACAGCATGAACATTTTTTGTACAATTGCGAGATCAACTGGCAATTTTCAGCATTTTTCCTACATATTTTTTTTACTATTTTGGGTGCATTTAGCATGGATGATAATGTTAAATGTATCTGGGCAACTGCAAGGGCTACCATTCAAAAATGAGAGTTGCAGAACTTTATCTGCATTGCTTCACCGATATAGTTGAGATTTTGGATGTGACATTAAAGACTAACAATGTGAAGGGCAGCAGGCAAAGCTCCAACTTGTCTTGAGACTTTCTATGCAGGAGTTAAGATGTAAAAGGTGTTACCAAAGTCACAGCTGATAAACAATCTTATAGGTCATGCTGTCAGTCAAAGAATAGCTTTAATTAAACTCAGTGAAAGTCTAATAGCCAATCTTCTTCAGTGGTTCAATCTTCTTCAGTGGTTCAATCCCATAGGATAGTACTCTGACTTGCACAAATCTGTGCTAAAGCTCACTTGCCTATGGTCACAGGATATTTCAGAACAAATATATATATATTGTGATAAAGAATTCTGGTAGCAGGTTTGATGAGGTCATAAAATGGGTCTAGAACCTTTTTGGGATAAATTAGACTTGTCAATTTAACCAAAACCTCACATATGTATTCATCGGGTACATGGATGGCACAGATCTCAGACAGAGGAAAGCAGGGAAGAAAAGGAAGAGCATGAAGCATGCTTTGCTCCTTGTTTACAGGCTGTTTCACTTATAGCTTTGTCATAAAAGCAAGTTGTTATCTAAACAGCAAGTAACTTATTAACCTGCCTCAGTACAGTAACAAAGAACTGTTTAGGAACAAGGAACAGTTTAGTATCTATTTTCACTGCCACAACAAACATAATTATTTACTTGATTTAGATCCAACTTTTCTCCCAGGGTTGGGATGCAAAGCAGTTGCCAATACAAATAAAATAAATAAAAGTTTTCAATAAAGGTTATAAACTGTACTTTTAAAATGCCAATTAAATTAACCACATTATTAAAACATCAATCAAAGTTATTTTTAACGTGCCATCCTAATAATAAACAAGATTTAATCTGTAGGGACCACATATATCACTGGTCCTACACTAACTTCATTAGCTTGTAATTTGCAAAATGCCTCTTCACACGAGGCATTTTGCCCCATTTTGCTGCTTTTAGTCATGGCAATGATGGGGCCTGCCATGCGCCATCACACGATGCACAGCAGGCCACACCTACATTCCTCCACTATGGGAAGGAAAGTGTAGTTTGGGTAGCTCCACACTTTCCTCCCCTTTTTGCCATGTGATGACAGAAAGGGCAATGGGGCAATGCACGTTGTTGTGCATTGCCACCTTTTCTGCCATATGATGAAGGAAGGAAAAAGGTGCCAAAGCACCCTCTCCTGTCCCCTCCATGTGATGAGGGAGGGTGCGCAGGGCACCATGAGCCCCCTTGTGTGCCTTCCCTTTCACTGGCGATTGTCAACACAATGGCACAGCCTGAAAGGTCCATGTGAAGAGGTCATAATTCTAAATGCTGGGTTTGATTTACAAAACCCTAAAAATTGCTACAGGCTGAGATATCTGAAAGATGGCTTCCCTTGCCTGGAATTTGAGAACATCAATACAGATGTTGTGTGTTTTATCATACTAAGAGGCTAGGTTGATGAGTACCGTGCTTTCTTTTGAAACAGCATCTTGACTTGGGAACTCTCTCCTAAGCTAAGTTAAGTTGATTCCATCTCTCTTGAGCTTAAAACAAGTATGACAAATTGTGTGTATAGAACAACCTTTTTTTTTAAAGAGAGAGAATGAGTATTTCTATCAATTCTTACTCAAAGTGGTATTCCATGAATCAGTGCTAGTCCATGAACAATCAACTAAGAGATTTTCATGTTGAAGTCAATGGGAACAAATATGGTAACACTGGTTGTTAAAACCACTGATCTCTTACATCCAGAGACTTAAAACGAGTTGGTTTAGTTTGTTTCAAAAAATGTTTTTACTTATTTTATTTGCCCTAATTAACTCCATATTAGCTCCCCACAAAAATGAGAGGCAGTAAATATTAAACCCATAAACAATCAATTTTGGTTGCAGTCCTGATCTATATCATATGACAATTGTGAAAATGAGTGAGACCATGGCTGAAATGACAATTATCAAATGTGTATGCTAAATCCAGAATAAATTAGACCTACTATACATACTCATGTAGAAGTCTAGAAATGTCAGTCAAAAATCAGCCTGCAAAACCTAGGCGGATTGATCTATAGGTATGTGTAAGGACTGTATCTAAACTCTTATCACTTAAAGCAGGGGTCCCCAAACGAAGGCTTGGGGGCCACATGCGGCCTGCCCAGGGCATCTATCCGGCCCGCGCGGCCTGGCCTGGCCTGACGCAAAGCCCCTCGCGCCGCCCGTCGGCCCTGGCAAGCAATGGAAGCGGCGATGCAACTTACCTGCCTCACGCTGCCCCTCGTGCAAGCCAGGCAAGGGAAGGGCATCGCCCGAGAACAGGCCACGAGTTGCAGCTTCCCTTGCCAGGCCCAACAGGCAGCGAGAGGGCTGTATGGAAGGGCTCTGGAGAAGCGCCTTTCCAAACAAGCACACCTTTAGTTTGTCCTGTGGAGTGAGAGCAGCCTGGCTCGCCTCTTCCCGGGAGGAGAGTTGAAATGGAGGCCGGAGGCCGAGGCTGCTCTCCCCCCCGCCAGAAAGGCCGCCTCCCTTTCCCTCTCCCTTCCATCCCCTTGTGCAAAACACACTGGTTCCCTGTAGCAGAACCAGCCCAGGCTCCTGGGACATAGGAAGAAGAGAAAGGAAGGCAGGAAAGGTCCCTCGAGGAATTCTGAGGTGGGTTCTTGTCTTGGTTTTATCTGAGCCCCCACTGCCATATATTCCAGTTCAAAGCAGATATGGTGGGATTTTCTGCCTTAATATTCAGAAATATAGAGATGTATGGAAGGGCACCCAGGGCCACACATCTCTATATCCCAGAATACCAAGACAGAAAATCCCACCATATCTGCTTTGAGCTGGGTTATCTGAGTCCACACTGCCACATATTCCAGTTCAAAGCAGATATTTTGGGATTTTTTGCCTTAATATTCAGGGATATAGAGATTTATGGAAGGGCACCCAGGTCCCCACATCTCTATATCCCAGTATACCAAGGCAGAAAAGCCCACCATATCTGCTTTGAGCTGGGTTATCTGAGTCCACACTGCCATATATTCCAGTTCAAAGCAGATATGGTGGGATTTTCTGCCTTGGTATTCTGGGTTATATGGCTGTGTGGAAGGGCACCCGGATCCACACATCTCTATATCCCAGAATATCAAGGCAGAAAATCCCACCATATCAGCTTTCAACTGGGTTATCTGAGGCAAGGGAGGCTACACTGCACTTCCTGTTCTCGCATGAAGCCCTCTCCGCTTCCATTGCTTGCCAGGCCTGACTGGCCGCATGAGGCAAGTGAGGGGATTGGGCCTTGCAAGCGTCGAGGGGCTTTGCGCGAGCCCCCTTGCTTGGCTTTCATGATGGGCAGCGCGAGGTAGGTAAGTTGCACTGTGCTGCCTCCCTTGCCCGGCCCACACGATGGTCCGGCCCTCCAACGGTCTGAGGAACAGTAATCTGGCCCCCTGTTGAAAAAGTTTGGGGACCCCTGACTTAAAGGAACCATTACAAAATAGAGTGCTGACAGGCTACAGCTTAGGGCCCTTCAACACAGCCATATAACCCAGAATATCAAGGCAGATAATCCACAATATCTGCTTTGAATGGGATTTTCTGAGTCCACACTGCCATATAATCTAGTTCAATATGGATTTTATACAGCTGTGTGGATGAGGCCTTAGTCTGTCCTGAGAAAACTTAAAAGGAGTATTGGCTCCCTTTACTCTGCTGTGGTGCTGTTTCTGACTCTTTTGAATGCCTGGACAGGAAAATGCCAATGGCCATGTCACAATTGTTCTTCAATTAATTTGAGCTTTCTTTTCTAACTCCTAGCTAAGCTAAAGATGCCTATAAAAAACCTATAAATGAATATTACTCACGTTGCATTGTTCTCTGAACATTCAGATGAATTAGTGTTTACATTCTGGTGCATAAATGTTAAATCTGTTAGATCCATGTCTACAGCTGTGTTCTCATTAGGCTTGTATGTAAGGCTAAAATTAGTGGCATAAAAAAGGATGCAGGTGGTTCCATTGACATCATTGGTCACGTTCAGTGGACGATACTTATCATTTCCCTGATCTTCAGCAGACATCAGTTGTCGTCTGCTATGCCATGCTAGATCAAGTTTCATAGGCACCTGGGGACACAATGAAAGAGAAATAGTCACATTATTTAAGTAAAAAGAAAAAAAATTGAGAAGGAACACAGATACAAATTCAAGTTCAAAAGCCACAGAGAGCTAACTATACTCATGGCTTACTAATTGGCATCTGTCAAAAAAAGAAGAAGATTGAATCTGCAGCCAGTATCCAGCAGTGAAATCTGGCAAAATCAGGTCAATGAAGCTCACAAGCAGGTGCCTTTGAACTGGGCTCCTATGGGATGCTCTCACCTTGTTAGGAAAACCACCCCTGTAGATAACTGCTAATAACACAAAAAGAGCCTCGTAACAAAATGTCTAATTATAATATAGGTTTTGAATATGTTTATTAAGGTTTTGAATATGTTTATTAATATGTTTGAATATGTTTATTGTAAGCGGAGCCCCCAGTGGCACAGTGGAGCCTACTGAGCTTGTTGACTGAAAGGTCACAGGTTCAAATCCAGGGAGCTTCTGCCAACCTAGCAGTTCGAAAACATGCAAATGTGAGTAGATCAATAGGTACTGCTCCGGCAGGAAGGTAATGGCACTCCATGCAGTCATGCTGGCCACATGACCTTGGAGGTGTCTACGGACAATGCTGGCTCTTTGGCTTAGAAATGGAGATGAGCACCACACCTCAGAGTCGGACACGACTGGACTTAATGTCAGGGGAAACCTTCACCTATATTGTAAACACAGGCTAGCTTAAGCTACAGCTGCTGTGTTAATGTGTTGCCATAGTAACCAAGCTTGCAGTAGAAATGTATCTATTTCAGCAGAGCTCAGGAGCCAAAGGGGGCGGAGGAGGAGAGCGGACATTTTTAAATGTTAGCCAGTCTTTGGCCGGCTGAGACAAAGGAAGGTTGGTCTTCGGCCTTGATATTTAGAGTGTTAAATGAACCAGTTTTGCATTAGAAACTAGCTTGTGAACTAGGGGAAAGGAATTCCCAATAATATTTTGTGGCTTCAGTGGGAGAGCTGAAGTAAATAAAAGGCAAAACTGTGCCTAAGTGGCAGTCAGTGGAACTGAGGGTAAAACTGTACTTTGAGAGACAGTCACACTTAACCTGTTGCTAAAGCGAAGAAACTAAAAGATTATATTCGCCCAGTCAGAAGACAGAGAGAATATCATTTTAAAGTAAAGCAAGTTATTAAAGGCAGCTTGGCAAGAAGATAAATCATTCTGGAAGTTATATAGAAACTGTTTCAAGTGTTCACGATAATAAAAGATAACTGTAACTATAGCTAAGGAATACTGAGAAGAAACTACTGTGTAACCACTAAGCTTTGTGTGCCTGAGAATCCTTAAATAATTATTTCTTTGTTCAATTTCATACAACAAAGACTTGTGTCAAGTTTACCTCAAAGATGACGGCTGAAGATCTTTTGGAACAGGATTCAGTTTATGGTATTGGGTTACACACATTAAAGTCTCAAACAAACATTTTAAAAGTCAAACCTCTCTCATCTCAGGCCTCATGCTAGTCTCTGTCTCTAGCTTCACACAAACATATACATTTAAATAAAAAGGTGCTCAGTCACAACTGTGCTACACACCTCTACCATTTACTCTCCTCATTGTCCAGTTTGTTTCTGGTGGTGGTTGTGTTTCAAGCACCAATTCATTTATTTATTTCCTTGACATCCTACCTTTGTCCTGGGGGTATGATGAAAGATGGCTTCTAGCAGAAATACAGTGAACAAGATTCTGTTCATTGTTGTTGGATCATAAACCTCTGTTCACATACAATGGCAGCTGCAAAAGTGGCAATAGCACAGAGTGTTTAGTAGCTTCCTAACCATCTTGAAGATGTTGTGGAAGAAAAGGAATATATGAAGAGATGGAAAGAAAATATCGGAAGGAACATAAGAATAGAGGAATGGAAGGAAATTTGGACGAAGAAATTAAAATATACGTATGCAACAGATCTTAAGGAAAATTGGTTAAAATGGCATTTAGATGGTACCTGACACTGTATAAATTAGGCAAATGCTATAGCAATGTCAACACAAATTGTTGGAAATGTAGAAAGAAGGAAGGTACTCTGTTTCACATGTGATGGACATGTGATAAGGCAAAGTCTTATTGGAAAAAAATACATGAGATAATGCAAAAGATGCTAGGTATTAATGTCCATCTAAAACCAGAATTATTCTTGTTGGGTATGACAACATCAAAAATGGAAAAAAAACACTGACAAACTACTATTCCTGTTAACAGCAGCGGTGAGGATGTGCTACGCAAAACTATGGAAGAAGGAAGAAATACCAGAACCAGAAGAATGGCTACAAAAGGTGTATGATATTAGAAATATGGATCGACTTACATATCTAATATCCAGAAGCAAGGATAAACCGGCACAAGAGACAAATTGGGGAAAAATTACTGACTATTTAAAAGAGATAAAATATAAGACAATTATTTAAATAAAGGACTATATCCCTAAGAAGAAGGAAGGAGGGAAGCCTATTATGGGGGGGGGGGGGGGACCGAAGGATAGAAGACAGAGAAAAAGAGAACATCTCCACCAAATTACTCAGGAAGTCACGAAGATCTTCAATTTTTTTTATGCTATCTTTTTTTTCACACACCTTTTTTCTCTTTTTTCTGTTTTTTGTCTCTTTCCTTCCTTTCTTTTTTTCTATCTGTTTTTTTTAATATTGTCACAGAAAATTCAATAAAAATATTTTTTTTAAAAAGATGTTGTGTTTACTTTGTAACTTGATTCATGACTGCATACTGTTGTGGTGTCAACAAACTTGTATGGAGGGCCATTGGCTACCTCCTTATATTGGCAAATAATAATAATAACAACAACAACAACTTTATTTTTATACTGTGCCACCATCTCCCTGAAAGGACTCGGGGCGACTTACATTGGGACCAGGCCCAACAAATACAGTGAAATTTACCTGCTAAAACACAGTTAAAAACATAATAACATATAACATAAACAATCTAATTTAAACCATTGGAAATGGCAACATATAAAAAATTGTAAAAGTGTATCAAACCAATCTAAAAAAAACGCCCAGTAACCAGAAATATGTCATACAGCTGGATGAACTCAACAGTAAAAGGGATCCTGGTCAAGAAACTAGACTATTAAGATATAAATTAAATCATTACTCTTTTATTACAGACTGGAATCTTGTGTTATCTACTTAATTACCTAAGCAACTTTTCCTGGATAATCCTCCAAACCCAATGGAAATATCATTCTCCCATGTTCCAATCTCTAGCAAAATGGATTTCCTTCTTCCCATGCACCTACTGCCCAGTAAAGTACGGAAAGAGTTAAGATGGTGGGAATAGTGTCAGAATTCCAAACCCCTACCCCCACCCCAGACTCATCCTGAATGGCTGGCAATCTCCATGATGCACAGCAAATATCTCAGTTCTGTTTGTTTGTTTGTCTATTTTACACCAACTTGGGCAATTTGGCAGATACTCCAGAGTTTGCTGGATACTCTGAAGTATCCCACGGCTCCAAGGCAGTCTGGAAAGCTAGATAGGGTCCAATACAGCCCAGTCCACGGTCCATGTTGGGATTTAGGAAATGATCTCATTCCTCATAGCAGGAAAATCAGGAAGTATGATAACGGTAGCTTCAATAATCCTAAAATTAACTGATTTTAAGGAGGAATTTAGCTATTTGCAGTCTAGTCCACTATGAACTGCATTGATACTCATAGGTATGCTCATGCACACAGCCCAATAAAAATCCTCTTAAAAGGAGGGGTGGACAATGGGGGCTAATTTCAGATCCCCAGTCATACCATCCTTCTGCTCCACAATGTCATTATTTGGTTCCACAGTAGCAATTGGATACAATTTTGGCCACCTCTTGAGTATGTGAAAATGTCATCCTAGAGCTAAACTGAAAGACATTTTAGAAGTAAATCATAGTGACCTTGCTTTGGAGAGGCATATTTCTAAGCAAATAATTATTCTGTATGCTTTTAGCAAGGCAAAAGGAATAAAACCCAGTGTTTTTTGTTTCAGGAAATTCATTCTCATCAGACAAACTGTAGGCAAGGTTATAATAACAGTGCTGCTTCTTATAGAGGTAGGAGGATTGCTCATAAAGCTGCTCTTTCTCAAAGGTTGGTTGTAGAGTGGCTGACTTCCTTGAAAAGAGAGATCATAAGGCCATAGATCAGCAATGTAGGTGTCAAATAAACAGTTCCTTAAATAGGTCAAGAGAGGATAAGGCATATTGAACTCCATTGGTTATTGGTTACCAGCATTGCGAAGAATATTAACCAATGTTCTTGTCCTTGGCAAGAAAAATACATTAAAAATGTTATCATTCCCTGTGAATTTTCACATCTTTGAATAAGAATGACAAATAAAAGAAATCCTGCCCCTTGCCTGTCATTTTCCTGCGGAATATTTAAGTTAGATCCAACATCTAATCTACATTTCATAACTTGATGATGTCATAGCTATGTCCCAGACAAGATATGCAACCCTTCTAATGAATGTTGGCAATGCATAATGGTGGATTCTGTGTGGTTCCTTTATTTCATCCATGTCTACAGTTGTCTCCTCATAAGAATATGAGTATTGCATAACATTGCAATCAGACTTTACGTAATGGTAATCAATGTTGATGGCCCCCTGGTGGTGCAGCGGGTTAAACCACTGAGTTGCTGAACTTGCTGACTGAAAGGTTGGCAGTTTGAATCCAGGGAGTAGGATGAGCTCCCGCTGTTAGCCCCAGCTTCTGCCAACCTACCAGAAGTTCGAAAACATGCAGATGTGATTAGATCAATAGGCACCGCTTCTGCAGGAAGATGATGGCATTCCATGCAGTCATGCTGGTCACATAATCTTGGAGGTGTCTACTTTAAACACTGGCTCTTTGGTTTAGAAATGGAGATGAGCACCACCCCCCAGAGTTGGACATGACTAGACTTCATGCCAGTGGAAACCTTTATCTTTACTAATCAATGTTGCAAACACCTAACAGAACATTGTATTTTATGCA